TGTCCTGAAATGGTCCTGAACCAGCTAAAGAATGTGAATTGTGGGAGTAGGAGATTCGAGAGAGAACAAGATGCCAACTCTTCAAGTTTGCAGCTGTCAGTTTTAGTACCAAAGGCATCAAAAATCCACTCAAGATCCGATGTTTGCTTTCAGAGTGCGGCAAACACCGCGTTAAGCGCCAAGGCCAGTGCATGACTTACAGTGCAAAACTTTATTTCAGAACGCTATTTGAAACGATTTTTTTTCGCAAAATACTTGTTTTTGATTTTGAAGTGGGTAGCTGCCATCGGCACTCTTAATGATGGCTCTCGAAAACAAGGAGGCATTGGCAACTGTCAGAGCTTTGTCTTTGGGGGATTGAAGAATTTTCACCGCCAAGCTGCTGCAAGTCATTGCAGTGGGAACATTTGAGGGCACAGTGCAAACGACAATAAGCACTTGTTAAAAGAATATATATATATACACACAGTATAAACGGTATCTCATGATTTCTTGCAATTCTGTATTGATACTGGTATTGATACTCTTTATCTGCAGCTCTTTTTCCGTGTCCAGGTGTTCAACCTCGCCTCAATCGTGAGGCTAATGCCTCACAGCATCGAGCTGCAGGTACTTCACCGTGGGCAACAAAACCCTTCTTAGAGCTGATGTTTGATGCTTGATATTCTGAATTATTTCTTTAAACTTGGTTTCTAAATTGAGCGGACAGCACATAAGCAACAAGAGACTGTGATCGTACAGAAATGGCTGCAGCACAAGGTGAAATCAGATCGTGTTTCGAATCTGGGGAAGTTCATGCCAGAATACAGCATCAGGTCCATCCAAAACTTCAAGTTCTGGCAGTGTTGATGCTCCAAACTACCGACTTGATAGGGAGAGGAACAAATAAAGCCCTTGATCAGAGGTGCGAGGACAATGGAAGAACAACGGGAGAGCATGTGAGTTTGTGATTTGTGAACCAACATAAAATATGACGGATAGGGGTATGATATGTGACACCGATGTGACAAATATTCAGACATTATTGACACATGGCCGACATGGCCGACATGGCCAGGTGCCTTCACCAGGTTGGAATCGCCTCAACTCTGCACCACTGCGGCCTGAAACACGGCGAGCCGGGGAGAAAAACAAATGAGCAATGAAGACCGTCGACAGGAAAACAAAGACCATTTGTTGCACACCATGGAACACCAAAAAGTGAACACCAATGAGCAACAAAGCAAAAGTGGTTCTCAACCATGTTCAACCCAAAGCCAAAAGGGAGAGTTGGTCTATGGAGTCTATGTCTTCCATCTTGAGATCCTGAAAGTCTGGAAATCATTGGAAGCAGCCAAAACCCATGAAAAAAAAACAGCAAAAACAATCTTAGGAAACACAGGAAGCATATGGAAGCATTCAATAAGCAATGTCATCAAACAGCGACTGGCCATGACCGGCTCAATTGTGGGACAAGCTTCACTTGTCCAGCAGATGCCACAACTTGGGCGTTGGCTAAACAGCACTGAGAGCATGCCGACATCCCAACCTGAAGAATTCACGGCAATGGTTTGACCATGTCTGACCAATCAGATAGGAAAACATGTGAAACAATAGTCACCAGGTTCATCAGGAAGTACTGACAATGTCGAATCAGGGAGTACTGAAAATGCCGACGTTACATAGAACCTTGCAAGGCTGGGCACTTTTCGTTACTTGTCAAGTACCATCCGTGAAACCGCGTATTCCAACCTTTCTTTGGGTTGTATTTTGTGGATCTGCTTACACACATCTCAAGCAATGCATCCAACAGTTTTTTCCACATGTTGTGCATCCCACTCCAGGTGTTCTGTGCTATGCTACCTTCGATGTCTTCCACCCCTGAATCTACACGGCCTTGCGAGTGGTATGCACCAGAATGAGCCTGAACCATCAGTTCAACTGCAGCAACAGCACCGGGACTATTGTGGTTCGCAAGTTCGAAGTGAATAATTTTGTTTTGGTCGGGGTAAAGGGTGAAGGTTCATGATGTCTCCAGCCGATACAAAGCATATCAAAGCATGACCAAATCGCTGCAAATCACATGTTTTCAACGTTTTTCAATTCACTGCATGTATAGGCCGTGCCTTCAAGGAAGAAGAAACTCGGTCTTGAAAACTCACGCTGTTGTAGGTGGGGTAGACCACAAACTGATGACTGAACCTGCCATGTCGCAACTGAAACAGTGAACTCTCAGACATCTCAAACCCCAATCTGTTCTGGATGTCCAATAGTGGGATTGGCAAATCTTGGCAATGGGCCCAATGGGCATAGGATTTCTGAATTGCCTGAATTGCCTGGAGTACCAGATTTTGGTTCCCGGTATCTTGCTTGGATCAGTCTGAGAATGATTTAACGCAAATGACAGGTTTTTACTTGAGCAGGACCTACGTTGAATTTGCGGAACGAGGAACTGTCCATCAATTATTGCATCAATGCAGCGAATACAGAGCGAAACACAAAGAACACAAATCAAACGACAAATCCATGGTCGGGGGAACGACACGGAGAGTTTTTCGATCGCTGGCACCTTAACTGCAGTTTGCCGGATTGCCCTTTTGTCCGTGAAACTGCAAAAAATTACTGCAAATTTGTTGTTACTATGTCACTGGTTCATGCAGAGACAAAATTATTATTTTTGCATTAAAACAAATCTTATGCATACATGTATAAATACATATTTTTAAATATCTACATGCATATGTATATATGTATATATGTGTATATATAGATATGTGTATATGTATATATACATGTATACATATATGTGTATATATATATTTGTTAATGCACATACACACATCTGTGTATTTGTAAACATAATATATATATATACATATAAATGTATAAAGAGAATATGTGTGTATGCATGCATGTATGTCAATATATGTGTATACAAATATGTACGTATTGTGCAATTAGGTTCTGGAATATTTCAGTATATGAATATGTACCCTTACACGAACATGTAAATGTGTGTATGTATGTATGGTATGTATGTATGTATGTATGTCTGTCTGTCTGTATGTATGTATGTATGTACGTATGTATGTATGTACGTATGTATGTATGTATGTATGTATGTATGTACGCATGTACGTACGCACGTACCTATGTTCGTATGTACGTATGTACATATGTGAGTATGTACGGATGTACGGATGGAGGGATGGAGGGATGGATGGTTGGATGGACGGATGTGTGTATACATATCATTATGGAGAAAACAAAGATGTTCTATTGATTTCCAACGCGCAAGAAGCCTATTGTCATCGTCTCAGCAGGGCGCAAAGTTGTAATCAGCAACTGCCCCAACCCATGTCTCAGCACGGTGCAAAATAGTCTTGCTCCTTTACACACCTGGTGCAGATCATGAAACGCTGCATGGGAAGCACAGCATCAGCTCACATATTATGAGGCCGGTTCTTCCCCATAAATGCGCCCAATCTTCTCATTACACTGCTAAGCGCGTTTCGTAGCAATACCTTCCGCAGCAGTCTGAGCTAAACAAACCTGTTCTGTGCAAGGCAAAAACTGCTCGAACCCTTGCAAGAAAAATGCGATGCGGATCTAGATTGGCAGGGGCATACTACTTTTTGGATGTGGCGGCCCCTAAAATTCATGGCAGTTCGGGATGGAATACAATGCAACTTGTAGGCAACTTCCAGAAAGTCCCCCCAGCATGGTCACTGAGAGGCGGACACAGCGCTTTGGAGTGTGTAGCCCTTGCTGCTGTTCAGTACAAACATCACATGGAAAGAACCTGTCTACCGTTCAGCATAGAAGCCCATGGTTGAATAGGTGACCTCATCCATACGTGCCAGAAAATCAAGAAAAATATGATTCCAATTCCTACCGAAACAAGCTTTCGAAGTTATTTGGATCTTTGCCAAACCAGCCTTTGAACAAGTCTCAGAACGACTTCAAAGCACTGAGCTTCCCAGCTGCATCACAGGCTGAAGAAGCATTGGGGGGAAGCATGTCGCTTAGTCGGTAGGACGTTGGAACAAAGGCCTGATCACGCGGCACAGTGTTGGGACGACATTGCACTGATGGTTGCCGTCACCAGACTGTGCTGCCACTATAAGTCCGAGTAGAATTTGCACGCTGCCAGAGGTGAGGGAATGAGACTCGGTTGATCGTTTGTACCTCCCCTGTGTTGCCGTGAAAAAACATATACATCAAAATACCGCGCCAAGATATGGGAAGCTCATTTCGTGGAGAAATATTGACACCGGCACCGGCATCAACCATGCGACCTCCTCACCCGAAATGCGCATGAGCTGAGAGGGATGGATGCCTTGGAGCTTTGGAACTTTGCATCGGAGGGTGCAGCTTTTAATGAAATCTCACGGTCTCATGAACCAGATTATCAGATTGGGGGGTTGCACTTTGGGAGGAAGTAACATGGAGGAATCAACTAAGAGCAAGTTCAGCCTTGTGAGCTGCACGGTTGTGGTTTAATTTGCTCTGAACTCAAGCGACCTGCAAATGATTCCTGCAAGTGGGAGCTGGTGAAAGGTCATGGCATGACCCGCAAGGTAACAAATGAGCAGTAAATACCTTTGCCGTTGCCCGTTCCTACAAAGCGATGCATCACGTCTCGTGGCTTCTTTGCACAATAGAAGAGCCGGACCTTGAAACTCCCCACCGTGGTAATTTCCGCGATTTTAACCAACGAAAGTTTAGCAATCTATACTTCCGTCTTCACGGAGCTTTGATAGTCCCAGCCATGGTTGTCACAGCACTGACTGTCACCGCAATGACTGTCACAGCATTGGCTTTCACAGCAATGATGTCACAGCAATGATTGTCACAGCACTGATTGCCACAGCAATGACTGTCACAGCAATGACTGTCACAGCATTGGCTTTCACAGCAATGATGTCACAGCAATGATTGTCACAGCAATGATTGTCACAGCAATGACTGTCAGAGCAATGACTGTCACAGCAATGGCTTTCACAGCAATAATTTTCACAGCGAGGAGTGTCACAGCAATGATTACTGAGTTTACTGTCGCAGCAAGGGTTGTCACAGCAAAGCATTGTCGCAGCAATTATCGGCACAGCAATGAGTGTCACAGCAATGACTGTCACAGCGGTGACTGTGACAGCAATGATTGTCACAGCAATGCTTACTGCACAGCAATGATTGCCACAGCAGTTATTGTCACAGCAATGATTGTCACAGCAAGGAATGTCACAGCCATGCTTGTCACAGCAATGGCTGTCACAGCAATGGTTTTCACAGCAATGGCTGACGAAGCAAAGATTGTCACAGCAATAGCTCTCCACACTCTCCATTTTACACTCCACACTTTACACTCCACACTCCTTACTTTACTTTACAGTCACAGCAATGACTGTCGCAGCAATGATTGCCACTGCACTGCTTCTCACAGCTATGATTGTCACAGCAGTGGCGGTAACAGTAATGAAACTGTCAAAACAATAACTGTCACAGCAATGAGTGTCACAGCAAGGAATGTCGCAGCAAAGCGTTGTCGCAGCAATTATCGTCACAGCAATGACTGGCACAGCAATGATTGCTGTCACAGCAATAATGTCACAGCAATGATTGTCACAGCACTGATTGCCACAGCAATGACTGCCACAGCACTGATTGTCACAGCAATGACTGTCACAGCAATGACTGTCAAAGCAATGAAAAATGAGCTGAGTAGGAGCTGAGAGAAGGAGAGCGTGAGGTGAAGAGCTGAGACGAGCTGAGAGTTTCAATTTTTGAAAAAGCCTCGCATGAGGGCTTTGTTTTCGCATCTTCCACTGTCACTTTTTGAGTGTATTCTTGCACCAAAGCTTCGTTTTCACATCTTGAGCTTTCACTTTTTGAGGGAAGGCTCGCACGAAAGCTTTATTTTCACCACTTCAACTTTCAGTTTTTGAGGGAAGTCTCCAACGAATGCTTCGTTCTCACGACATCAACTTTCGGCTTGTCAGGGAAGTCTCGCGCAAAATATGTTTTTGAGAGATAGCGGATGCGCGACATGTTGTGTTTTGCAGCACAAAACTAAACGTGCCTCCAAAGATGGGAAGGTCTGCCGCGCGACGGTTTCAAAACGGCGACTGCCGCTCAAGCGTCGTTTTGCCAACTTGAAGTTGTTCGTTTTTGAAAGTTCGGTTTTTGAAGGGCGTCTCCCACGAAAGCTTCGTTTTCACAAGCTGAAGTTGCAGTTCAATTGCGACAAGCTTGCGGCAATGAGTTTTTGCGGATTTTGCTCGTTTTTGGCGCGTTTCATTTTCCCCTTAAATTCCCAGTGAAAGAGCTTCAAACTCAAAATCGTAAAATCGTACTTTTTCCGGCTTTGGCACCGACATCCAGTTTTGGAGCAGGTTTTGAGCAGGAGAAGCTTCTGCCTTGCCAACGTATATAATTCTATTGGCTTCTGCAACCTGCTGCTTACAAATCCTATTCGGGTGGCTGCATCACGCTGCAACTCAGTGCTTGCAAATTCTATTGGGGTGGCTGCATCAATGTTGCTCTGCCTTGCTGTTCCGCACGTAGGTCCATGGTCTTTCGCAACTCACTGCTTGCAAATCCTCTTGGGGTGGCTGCATCAATGTTGCCCTATGTTATGTTGCTGTTGCGCACGTAGTTCCATGGTCTTTTGCAACTTGCTGCCGAAGGTAGATAGGGAGCGCACGGCAAACTAGGCGCTAAAAAAAACTGGCCTGGACCTTTGGCGACGAAAGGAACAGTTTGCGCGCGTGCACCTGTTTTGACTGCTGGTGCTTGCAAATCGTATTGGAATGGCTGCGCCAAAGTTGCGACGATTAGTTTTTGATATATGTTTTTTGATTTTGGCGCTTTTCATTCTCCTTTTACATTTGCTTTTTAAAAAGGCTTCAATTCAAAACCGTACTTTTTGTGGCTTTGGCGCGGAGAAGAGCTGAGATGATCTGAGTGTGAGCTGAGGAAAGCTGAGATGAGGTGAGAAGAGCTGAGGTGAGCGTGAGAAGAGCTTGGAAGATGAGAAGACATGATCTGCGAAGAGCTGAGAAGAGTTGTGAGAAGAGCTGATATAAGCCGAGATGAGATCAGATGGGGTGAGTTGAGACGACCTGACACGAGAAGAGCGGTGATGAGCTGAGTTGAGACGAGCTGCGTAGAATGGAGAGGCTGAGAAGAGCTGAAAACAGGAGAGTTCACATGAGCTGAGAAGAGATGTGAAAAGCTCAGCTGACATGAAAAGAGATGAGAACAGTTGTGCTCAGCTGAGAAGAGCTGAGAAAAGGAGGGGAGGCATGAGATGAACTGAGATGAGATGAAAAAAACGAGAAGACACGACATGAGATGAGATGAGCTGGGATGACACAGACCGCAGTGACAATGGGATGCAATGAGCAGTTTCCAAGAGAAGCTGCAATGCGATGAGATCAGACGAAATGAGAAAAGAACCTTGAGAAGAGATGGCGCCGGAATGAAAAGTCAAAAGATTGCTGCTGTGAAGCACAGAAGGCTTGCCCGCACCCTATAGGGGCACAGTCTTTGTTCCACTCTATAGGCTATAGACGTTTCTTTTGAAACTTCGGCCCCCCGGCCTGCCCGGGTACTACTTGTATCGGGACAACATCATCGAAATTCATTGTTTCGAGCCAACAGTTCAACAGGTCCTCAACATGGGCTCGAGTTGGGCCCGGCTTGGGGCAAGATGGTTCCAACCTGGGCCCAACTTGGACGCACTTGGCTCCAACTTGGGCCCAACTTGGACCCAACGTGGCGCAACTTGGGCGCAAGTTGACCCTGTTTGGGAACAACTTCGGCCCAAGTTGGGCTCCGGGTGGACTCATGGGGGATTTGACACACGCACACACACAATGCAAAATGCTGAATATGTTCGTTTTCACTGGTATTTTGTTTGTTTTGGTGTGGGGCTTTGTAGTGCGCAATGTTCCCCATCGGTTTTGGGCTCGTGTGCGCAGCATGGCTTCAACGTGGGGTCGACCTGGGTTGACTGGGGCAGCTCGGGCCCATGTTGGGCCCAACACGAGCCAATATTGCCGACTCAATGGGACATGCTGAAAACACGCGTTTTTGGCGCTATATCCCACGTTTGGGCCATATTCCACAGGTTGGGCCTGTGTTGGGCTCAACGTAAGGTTAGACTCTTAGACCCAGTAGGTCCATGTTTGGCTCAACGTAAGGCTACCCTGTTGGACCCAAGTAGGCCAGTGTTCAGCCCGCAGCCCGTATCCCTAGCTACAATACTCCTCAGCCCCGAAAAAGAAAAGCCATCCCCTGACCAGACAATTTCCCTCTTGACGAGCTCGCCCACAGTCTCTTACCCATCATGTCATGGTGGTCCAGGCGGTGCTCGTCGCCAAGGGACTCGAACAGAACATACGTAATGGATTCTGTGAATTTAAGAAGCAAAACAACATTTCACGGTGTGAGCGAAATCGTTTATCCGAATGGACAATTGACAGGTCAGACCCGTATTATCCGTTATTTGTGTTTCTGTACAGTCAAGAGATGTCAAGAGTACCGCTGACTCAAGAGCTCCAACACCTGTGTTGGTTCACCCGAAGCGGTTCCATTCAATAGGATCTGTGTTGTGCTTGCGCACATTCCATCACGTGTCATGTCTAAGCCTCCAGCAGTATGAAGCCGTGCTGGAGTTTGCATGCCCACAACGGTGCAAGCATTCAAACGGGCCATACATCTCAGCCTGAATGTTCCAAACAGAAACATAGCATGGGAACTGGATATCATGACAGGTGCTTTGGGCTGCACAGAATAACAGAATGGTGTAAGTCTTTGAATGCTGACTGCAATAAAACAACTAGATAAAACTAGTGTTTCACAGTGTTTCTGATCATTTTTGCGACTCTCAATGCTGCCATGACATCAAGACACTGCTTGTGCCACGTGGCAACCTGACCTTGCAGGGGCAAACGATGTTTAGCTTGTGGGATACTGGGCCGTGGACACCGCTGCCATAGGTGACAGCACCCCCACAGTAGGATCCGGCCTGCGAGATGCTTCAACTGCCAGCTGCCTACATGCAAACACACTGAGTGACATACTGTATCATTCTGAATCATACCATAGAATCAATCGCCAATGTTGCTATAGAGCAGTGCTTGCCCAGCAGGATACTCTGAATGTTAGTATCTCCACCCTGAACATCTCAAATGGAGCTCAAAAAAAAATAGAAAAGGATAGAAAAGGGAGCATCCGTCTGTGGCTGAGTGGCTGGACTTCGAGTTTGGAGCCGCCCCCCAGCATCCGGACCTGGTCGGTCATGGCATCCATCATGCTGGGCAGCGGCCTCCCGTGAAGCGAAGGAAACCAATCGAATCCAAAGTCCAAGCTGAAAATGACAAGTGCTCGGTAAACCTCTCACAACCCTATATCGATAACCCCTAAACAACCCCTAACCTAAACCACAATCTTAAACAAACCCCGAATAAGCATAAAGAAACCCTAAACCAACCCTGAACCGTAGTAGCTGAACCGAAGTTGCTGAAGTGTTGAACCGGCTAGATTAAGTTCTGAATACGACAAAATAGTTTCTGCATCCGACGCTGCAGTTTCTGAATATGACGCTGTAGTTTCTGAATACCGCAGGAAAATAATTTCTGAATATGAGTATGGCCAACTTGATTTCTGAATACGACGGCATAGTTTCTGCATCTGACAAATAGTTTCTGAATACAATGGAGTTTCTTAATCCGACTCTAATCAGCAGCTTGACCAGCAGTTTGACAAGCAGGTTTAAGGCAAGTGTAGCAAAAGATGGACAGCTTGACTTGCTCTGCAGGTGCAACGCCATTCCATGGTGGCTCAGGGATGGACTCACAGCGGCTCCCGCAGAAGATTGCCTGTTGCATGGCTGCATTTCCCTGCTTAGAGGCATTGGAAACGAATGGGACATAATGAGACCAAGCTAATCAACATAGATCGATCAGTTGGTCGACTTATAGGTCAATATAGACAAATGGCAAAAGTACAGGGACCAAGCTCTAAGGATCTTCTGAACAGTCATTATTTAATTGGACTTGCTTCTTACTGAAGCTTTGGAGGCTATATTCAGATAGATCATGAGGCCTCTCTTTTGCAATCGAGGAATGTGTGCCGCTAGCTCACACATATTATACATACCCCACACGTTGCAGTCACTGAAGACACGGACGTATGACAAATGTGTACACAAATCAATACACACGTCATATGCAGGTATCCATCGATACGCATGCAGGTCTGTCTGTGATACTTGCTTTATAGATGTCGGCGCTGTATGCATCCTCGATATGGGGCGCTGGTAAACCAAGCCTAGCCTTCCATTGAGGATTCACTTAAATCAGAACTTTCCCCAAAGTGCCAACAGCTGCCTGTGAATCAGGTGTTAGAGAGGCGGAGTACTGCTCGGGCCGAACGAAGTACCAAATAGTCAAAGCCTACGAGGACGCGGGAAACTTGTGGGCCGGTCCCTTCAACCCCGGGAAGTCCACAATGCAAATTTGTGGTGTTTCTCCAACTGCACTCCGCAAAATTAAACATAATTCTACACGTCTTGTATATAAAAATTATATATATATATATATATATATGTATATATATATATGTATATATATTTGTATATATGTATATATATATAAATATAAATATATATATATACATCTCAAAGTGACATATGAACTCCGTACCGCACGGACACTCGCATTCCTTTTTACCCAGCTCTGCCAGTGTAAGTCAGTTTCACCTGCAATCCTCAGGTTTGCTTTGGGTCGTCACTGTGTGACACGTACATAGCCCCAGACCAGTTTCACCACTGGTCAGCTACCTGGTCGCCCCAGGTTGGAACCTGCTCTTGCAGGTATCACCCAATGCACTAAAACTGCTAAAGCACTAAAGGAATTCAAAGGTGAGGATGACTGCTGCGAAAGGCAGCTGGAAAAGGATAGTGGGAAGGTACGACGAATAAAAATTGAATCCATTGCAGCGCCACCAAGGATCATTGACACCTAGTCTACTGATGTCATCGGCCCAGTTACTCTTGCTCTGAACGTACTCCCAGTAACCCTGGGCTCACAGTGCAAACAGGGCTAAGTGGATCAAATGACCTGATGACCTAGCTTTGCTAAGTCTGCATTGCTGGAACGCCCTCTCACTAGGGTCATGACTGCGGCGACATTGTCAAGAAACCAAAGGCCGTGTCGATGCCGAAAGAGGTCAGGGCGCTCGACCAGGACGTGCAACACCATAGATAGCTCCAACTGGGCGATGTGGGTTTCGGCAGGCTGCTGTAGGGCCTGGAGCTCTGCACAGTTGGTTGCAGCAAAACAAAGACGGGTTTGCGATCCGTCTGGTTGGAAAAATATGAGGTGGAAACCACCTGATCCTGGATCTGCAGCATCTGATGCCGCCAAAAAGCGAAGTCGCTCCATACGAAAAACTGGAAATTCGCGTTTTGGCTGAAAGCGCATCGCAGCTTCGATCACCTCGAAGCAAGCTTCAATCTCTGGGGTCATGGCAGTGGTATTCTCGTCCTGGCGCGCCTTAATGGCCACAAGACCGCCATACCCAACACGTCCATAGATGCCTTGTTCCAAGAAGTTAGCAAGACCATAGAGCTTGGATGCTGTGCCCCGACTGAAGTGGCCTGTTTGACGTGCTGTGGCAAGTATGTCACGAACTTTGTCATGGAGCCTGTCACGTGCCCAAAAGCGAACATGGCCTGTCTTGTTGATGCAACTGAGGTCATGGGTAAGGCCCAAGAATGTGCCAGAGCTCTGCATTGCTTGCTTCTTGTCATCCGCAAAAGGGGATCCAATCATCACACATAGCTGGTTCATTGCCCATTGGCCTGAGTCCTTGGCTGAACGAACGTCGGTGATTGTTGCGTCATCAAAGTATAGGGATGTCAAAACTTGGCAATACCGCCGAGTCGGCGCTTCCAACAGTCTGGAAAATCTGTTGAAGGAAGTGACTGCCAGCGGGAGTCCAAACAAAAGTCCTGAGTAGACTTGGTACGCCGGGGTTTGCCATTCAAAGTGAAACCATACCACGATGCAGCCCAAGCTCTCCTGTTGCGACGTGGGACAGTACCTGTAGGCAGATGGCAAGTCTTCTTGGCCTGTCTCCCAGGCGTCATTCTGACAAAACTCGGCGACTTCTTCCTCAGACCATCGGTGCATGACCAGGCTGGTGTGCTGAGCTGGTCGTACCGGGCTACAAAGTGTAAGCTTGCTAGCATTGGAAGATAGGTCAGATTGACCCCCTGTGTCGCCGTTGTCAATGACTCGCTGTTTCCCTGAGCTTTGGGTGATGACACAACGCGGGATAAGACGATGTGCTAGGTCTCCTATGTGCCTGAGGAACTCTGCTCGCCGCAGAGGAGGTGTGCAAAAACCATTCCTGGCGTCCTCCATAGATTGCTGCAACAAAAAGGCATCGTCTTTCCCCGGCTTCAGCTGGTTCAAGATGTGCTGGCTGTGCTCTTGCCATCCCTCCAGCACCTCTGCCATGCTAATACTCTCGGCCGGCTGCTGGGGGAAAATTTATCCCACTGCTGGCAGTCCTTGGACCAGCTCGTAGGGGAAACCAGTATCAGCCCATGACGTGAGGATCATCAGCAAAGCGAGAAAGCCGATGTCTCGTTGTTTCGTCACTTGGTGCACTGCTGGTTCCTGAAACGCACGCAAGTGGAGGGTCACCCCCTCCCAGCGCCGCTTCAGCTCACGCAGGGCTCCCACAGCTCGCTGTCGCCAGGCTCGCAGCGTTTGCCTCGGAGCTGCATAGGCATCGGCAACACACTCGAGGTCGAGGTCAGACACTGGTATGTCCTCATAAGGCAATGGTTGCTGCGCTCGCTGCAATGCCCTTCCAAAATGGGCATCAGGGTCCAGGTTGAAAGGCAAAAGTGGTGGCAAGGCCGCTCGATGGGTCATGGCACCCACTTGACAGCCGTCCCCAATCCTGTGAATGGCCTGCTAGGTACATAGTCCAGGTCAGAACATCTCCACTTTGGGACGCATTGCCAGAGTTGGCAGGGCTATCCCTTGTGTGCGATTGCCCCATGGATCACCTTTGCGAAGCCGACCTCTTGGTTGGGCTCTACTTCGATGCCACGTCACCCGAGAGCAGCCCCACCAACCGGGGCACCACGGGGAAGTGGAGCCGAACGGTCGCCTTGTTGCAAGGCATTCAGGCGCTGCCGAGAGGCATGGCATTGCTGATGATGAGCCAAGAAGCTCTGGTGTTGGCGTTCCGCAAGCTGTTCCCGGAGAAGTGGTTCCAGAACTTCAAGTTTGCCATGGTGGAGGACCTTGTCAACAGCCCCCCAGTCTGCTCGTACCCAGCATGGCTTGCCGAACGTGGAGAGGCTTGGGATGGACCCTTAGTCCCCCATCTAGCGGCTGGAGCTGCGAAGCGGTTGTGGCCTGGTGCCCAAGGCGATTTCCACTTTGTGGTTGACAGGCGATGGTGGAAGCTTCCCCGCCCTACATAGGTTGCTTTGGCTGGAAGGGCGTTGTTCTCAATCATCACATCAGCTGTGAGCCGTCGGACCGGTAACCCCGGCCTGCTAGCCCGCAGCTCTGCCGTCAAACCAAGGGTTACTGCCAACGGTGCCATGGCCCATTCCCTCATAGCCCGAGGGTCCATGTCGAGCCAATGCTCGCGGCGCCCCACTGCGATGAACGCCGGCATCCTCGGCACTTGCAAAGTGGCCAGGCCCTTTCTGACCGCCCACCAGCTGGCTGACACTGCGATGGCAAACGCCAGCACAGCTGTGTATTCCGCCTCCTCCTTGGACGGGTACACTCGCTTGCCACCGCTGGTGTAGGGGGTCCACTGGGGAACAGGTCAGAACCGGTCCCTGTGGCCATAACATAGGGGGAGTGACAAACTTCGACCCCATGCATCCAGCAAGTATAGGCTGCCAGATCTGACCCTTCCCTTGCCAGCCTCTCAACGTGCTGCTTGAACTCCAGGAAAGCGGCCGCATGAAGGATCTTCGCCTCAGTGGCCGCCGGGATGTCAATCCCTGGGAGCTTACGCTGCATGCAAGGTCACCCCTTGCTACCCACCAGGTCACCCCTGGAAACCATCAAGGTCTAGGAAGGTCCTTGCCAGACCGAGAAAGAAAAACATGAATGCTATTTTGGTTGAACTCCACTTGAGCCAAAATGATAGCATTCATTGGCTCACTTAAAGATGATACATGCGCACCCAAGCCTGCCAAACTCAATGCATGGGTATATATATATGATATATGCACGGAAAAGAGGGTATAAGTTATGTAAGGCTTATGTTGTCTTCACTTCCTGTCTTCGTGAATGCCCTGAGAAGATCTTTCCAGGTACCCAGACCAGCACAATGATCTCCAGGATGCAATAGACGACATTGACCCTGTGACACAAGGAGGAACAATGCTGCAACAAATGTAGTGACAAAGGAACAGCTATCCGCAACTATCCCAAAAACACAAAACCCTCAAGAATAAGAAACCCAGCTTTCAACAACACACGGAAAGCTAACGGCTTTCTAGCTATAGCTCCCGTACGTGAAGAAAGAAGCAAACTGATGTTCACGGACCCCAAAGGATCCAAATCTACTTTGGCAGGGAACACCTTTGGTTGGAGGTCCTAAGTCCCTAGACACACACATGCATGGACCAAAAAAGAAGAGTTCCAGTTCCATTATCAAATTGCAGCAAATTAAATAATGTCATACAATGTCTATGTCATCCTTCACTTTCTCAGGGGGAAACTGGCGGTAGTTGGATCGGGGTCTTTATTTGCCCGTGTGTTATATTACGCAAGTCTTCCCACGTTGGGTAGGATTCGGTAGGATGGGGTGAGGGGTGGGGGTGGGGAGTGGAATCACATCCTTGCACTTGCTTGCACACGCTTGTGATGCTATATACGTTTAGGTATAGGGTGAAATAAGAGTGGGGGTTGAAATGGCGTCCTTGTACTTGCACACGCACGTGGTGCTACATACGTTTAGGTATGGGGTGGGGGTGGGGTTAGAGGGGTGATAAATTTGTTAGGCTTGCGCTTGCACATGCACGTCACGCAACATTAGAGGCTCGTTGCTACGTGAGACATTTGCTTCCTTGCACTGGCGCACGCCGGTCATGTGAGGTTAAAGACTCGTTGCTACGTTAGAACACTGCTGCCTTGCGCTTGCACACGCACGTCATGCTCCGTGGCTCTTAGACATTCGTTGCTAAAGGGTGATTGAAGAAAGCAAAGTAAGAAGTTCACTCCTGCCTGCATTGCTGAGCTCCAATGTATATACATATCTGGGGGCGTCAAAGCTTAAATTAAAGCCTGACACCGTTGGAGTTCTTGAATGATTTGGAGAAGCTGCTGTGAAAGAAGAGAGAAAAAACTGACGTGGATGTTCGTTTCGGAAGTAGTTTGTGGAGTTCCAAAGGGAATGAATGTGTGTAAAGAACAGCTTTGAATTACGAGTCGAACAATGTTTTCCCCATGGAACTGCGATGGTTTATAAATGATGTCACACCTCAAAACGAAGTGGAATCAATCTGGAATTCGTGGTTCGAACAACATCTGAGAGGTCACACATGTTATATAGAATAACCCACGGGCAAATAAAGACCGCGTTCCTAGTCGGCATGCACGGTATCCAAACAGAAACCCCATTGCTGCAAGGCAAAAGAGTTTGGACAATCACTTGGAAGGGCACAAACTGGACGCAAGTGCATTACACTGGCAAACACTGTCCAGGCTGTTTGCCACGGCCTTTTGTTTGCTATATCAACGCTCTTGGGCAAGTACATGACGCCACCTAAAATTATACAAATGAAATGTCCGAAGTGTCCAAGATCAGTGCAAACTATGCAAACGGATCGTGCATATGATTTTGATTTTCTTTGGAATTCATTTAGCTCATAGTGGCTACTGGCAGCTTTTGGGATGGCAGGTTCGACGCATGTGCCAGTATTCTCAACATGTTTAAGCGCAGACACACACGCATACACATATACACACTGCCGGCAGTCACAATTATGAGGATGCAACTGCTTCCGAAGTCCATCATTCGCCTCAAAAAAGCAGGAAACGACGGAGGAAAACATGATGAAGCGCCATATACAGAGGGTTTATATAAGCAATCAACCAGAGCTCGTGATCAACCCGAGTTTCCATCTAGTAAGACAAACAGAAACAGAATCGGTAAGCGCATCAAAAACTATATTGTTCCAATCAAAACAAATATTCCAAAACCATAAAAAAGAAACCAGACGACAGATGGCCCGAGAGCGTAGAGGAGCAAATTACTCAGGTGTAAGTAAAAACACAATGTCAGGAATATGTAAGAAGTATATATGTGGTGTAAGTAGAAGAAAAGACAATGCTAGCGGGATACAGCGATGTTAAGATGAAAACTGAAAAGAGACATTGAAACATGTGTACTGATGCAGAACGACAGCAAGAAGATAAAAATTGCAAGAGCAAGGCTGCATGAAGGAGACAAAGTAGTAGGAGGAGAGTGAGGAACGGAAAGAAAAGGCGGAGAAGATGTCAATGTGAGGATGGAACACAGACGCTTTTACACACACGCGCTTTGACGCACAGAAGCTCTTATGCAGAAACGTTTTTGCACACAGACGCCTTTACACACTTTTTTTCACACACGCACTTTTACACATACATGCCTTTACACACAGACACCATCTACACACACAAACACGCTTTTGCGCGTACGTTTTCGCACAGACGCTGTTACACACAGACACTGAGACGCATTTACACACAAACGCTTTTACGCACACATGAGCTGACGCAAAAAAACCTTTACAAACAGATCGCCTTTACACACAGACACTTTTACACACAAACACCTTTTACACACAAAAACTTTTACACACAGACGCATTTACACACAGACGCTTTTACTCCCACACGCCTTTCTTTACACACAAAAACTTTTACACACAGACGCATTTACACACAGACGCTTTTACTCCCACACGCCTTTCTTTACACAGAAAAACTTTTACACACAGACGCATTTACACACAGACGCTTTTACTCCACACGCCTTTCTTTACACAGAGATGCTTTACACACAGACGCATTTACACACAGACACTTTTACTCCCACACGCCTTTCTTTACACACAAAAACTTTTACACACAGACGCATTTACACACAGACGCTTTTACTCCCACACGCCTTTCTTTACACAGAGATGCTTTACACACAGACGCATTTACACACAGACGCTTTTACTCCCACACGCCTTTCTTTACACAGAGATGCTTTACACACAGACGCATTTACACACACACACGCTTTTACTCCCACACGCCTTTCTTTACACAGAGATGCTTTACACACAGACGCATTTACACACAGACGCTTTTACTCCCACACGCCTTTCTTTACACAGAGATGCTTTATACACAGACGCATTTACACACAGACGCTTTTACTCCCACACGCCTTTCTTTACACAGAGATGCTTTACACACAGACGCATTTACACACAGACTCTTTTACTCCCACACGCCTTTCTTTACACAGAGATGCTTTACACACAGACGCATTTACACACAGACGCTTTTACACACAAATGCACACACTTTTCTTTACACAGAAACTCTTTACACACAGACGCTTTACACACAAACGCTTTTACACACAGACGCTTTTACACACACACATACGCACACACTCCTTTATTTACACAGAGACGCTCTCATACACAGACGCTTTACACACAGGCGCTTACACACAGACGCTTTTACACACAAACACTTTAGACACGGACGCTTTTACACACACACAGGTGCCTTTACACGCAGGATCCTTTACACACAGACGCTTTTACACACTACACACAGAGCTGCTTCTATACACACGCGCGCACACTTGCTCAGAACTGTCGTTGCGAATTTTGTTGTGGAATACATCTAACGTGCAAAACGCGAACAACAACTAACACGATGAAATGACCTTTACTAAAAATGTATATAATCACAGTAGACGTTGACCGTATAAAACCACAGCGATAAAATATATGTCCCCCCCAGCTGCGACTTATATGCGCCCAGGGGCGGGACCACACACACACACACATATATATATATATTTATATATAAATATATATTTATATATATATATATTTATCACCCGCCACTGCAGCAAGAAGCCACTTTTTGGCAGACCACAAATTGCTAAAGTGGTGTGGCTAAGGAGCCGTGTCTGTGAGACTTTGCTAGCTAAGCCCTCTCACACCAACATCCAACCTCAAGAGGTGGTGATTGACAAGCGGCTGCCTCAAGAGGCAAGTGTGATAGCTTAAGAGCCATCCACTTTCCCCAAAACGTGCCAACCAGCTGGTCCAGGTTTTTCAGGTTCTAGCTCCGTGATGTCACACCAGTCATCGATTGCATCTTCAAAAGCAAAGAAACTGGTTCTCCCATCATATGAAGGGGCTACCTTCGTGGTCATCTGCTGTGTCATATAAGGGTCATATTGATTCCATCCATCTGCATCGACAATGTCGAAGTCGTCATCATCATAGCCATGGTGTGCCATATCCGGCTCTACCTGGAGCTCACCTTCAATGAAGGATCACAGCTCCACTACCACTTGAAGAGGGGCACTAGCGTCTAGGTTACATCAGCTAGAGCGTCTTCCCAAGACAGCTTCACACCTTTTATACTCGGCCAATAGCCAGTCGGTGCAGTGTCCACACGATTACTCTATATCTCTCTTGAGCTTTGACAGCGTATGTAAATGTGCTCAATACCCATGCTATATCCACGTAAGATCCAAGCCCAAACAAAAACAAGGGCGCAGCGCCTCCCCCAAAAGCAGAATGACAATACCTGTGCTCCCGTGTGCGGTGAAATATGGTACTCAGGGATTTGTGTATGTATATATATATATTGTATACACATATGTATACCATGCACAGCATGCCTGTTGTGAGTGAATGTAAGTTAAATCAAGTAGATATAGTCTTAGTTATATATTGTATACACATATGTATACCATGCACAGCATGCCTGTTGTGAGTGAATGTAAGTTAAATCAAGTAGATATAGTCTTAGTTAGTTGGAGAGCCACTTTCAACAAGTGTCCTGAAATACTGCTTTCAGCTTCATTCCTTCCTTCCTCCCTTCCTTCCTTCCTTCCTCCCTTTCTTCCTTCCTTCCTTCCTTCCCTCCTTCCTTCCCTCCTTCCTTTTTTTGGAATAATAAGTTTCTTTTGATGGCAATGATATTTTGTTGATTGCAATAATATGCTTTTTTGATACAGATCCCAACCCAACAGAATCAAGTCAATGCGTCAGGAACAAGTTCAAGATCTATGGGCTGCAAACAGTTGTACAGTTGTGACTCAAATCAAATACTTTATGGAAATATGATAAAAAGAAACAAGATTGCGGGCCGGGAAATGGATACCAAATTGTCTAACTATGCTGTATAGTCAGAGCTTGTAAATCTTGCGCATCGCTCATGACCTAAAATAGACGACGTAGAACGAACAAATGGGAGAACAGGCGCGCAAGCGGTGGCCAGGAGTTCGGCTGCTGCAATGCATCTTGAACGCAGAATCTGTGGACAAATCTCTAGCTTCTGCTTTCTATAATTGTTATATATATGTATATATTATTTAAAATTCAAGAACAATGCTCTATTAGGCGCCCAAATTTGATGGCAACAAGCATGGCAACCTCGAGGGCAAAAGCAATGGCAATGGCAATGGCGGTGGCAATCTGCAGGGCAACATGGATGGAAAAAACCGACGGGGGCAAAGGTAATGGCAACATCGGTGGCAAAAAACAGTGGCAAATACGTGGCGGGGGTAAAAGCACGGGCGGCAAATTCAATGGCAAAATTTGGGTGGCGAGCAAAAGCCCTTGGCAACACACGCGGCAACGAAAGGGCAAACTTCATTGCGGGCAAAAGCAATAGCAACACAGGTAGCAAAGCTATGGCAAAAATTGTGGCAAGGGCTAAAGACTGGACGCGTAAGTGGGAAAAGCAGATGGCACATTGCATGGCACAGGATATTGTATGCAGCCGTTGGTTTGCACAAGCGGCTTCTGAAATTGTGTCATATGGAAAGCAAGTGAACATTTTCAATCAGATTGTGGCGGTGTCGAATGATCAAACTTAGTGCTCAGAAATTGTTGTGTTTACAGCTCACTTGGTCAGCAATTGCCTTTCGGCTGTGTTTTTGTCTAACGGTTTTCTGTGTCTAAGCCATGCTGGAACATTGTGGGGCACAGAAAAAAGTTGAGTTGAGCAAAATTTTGCCCAGGCAGCTGCCCACCCGCCCGTCAAGAAATAAGGTCGATTTTTGCCAAAATAAGCCTTATTTTTGACAAAAATAAGCCTTATTTTTTGATGGGCAATGATGGCAACCAAAAACTAGTGCGGATTGTCTTGAAGGGACAAGCGTGCGCTGGGCTAAACCTGCTTTTGCGCCACCAGCAAAGGGATAGTTGAAAACAACATGCCAGCCTTTCATATTTGCTTGGATTCTTGTTTTATTCATAGGGTCGGTGGGTGTCGCCTCCGCTGAAGGTGCAATAGGACTGGCATGATTTTTGTCAGTTGATGTAGCACCAAATTTTGCCAGCACTTTTGCCATCAACTTGCCACCCCATTTGCCGCCAAAAAGTCTCTCACACCCTTTCTATCAACATGTGCCACGTACGCTCAACGCCTTTTTGTGACTGAAGGTGTTTGCAACCTTTTCTCCCCAAAAAAATGCCATCAATTTTTGACACCTCTGCTGCCGCCAAAATGTGATTGCTAAACTTCCGGCTCAATTTTGTCATGCAAAGTTGCCACCCCCTTTGCCACCAAAATACGGTTGCCACCATTTTTGCCATCACATTCTGCCATCAAGCTTGCCACCAACTCTTCATTGCCACTGAAACTGCCACCCACATTGCCATATCTAACTGCCACCGCCGCCGAACTTGCCACCAAACTTGCCACCTTAAACCGTCACGAACCTCTGGCATAAGATAGAACCATATGAAAGCATACCTTTTAAATATGTTATATGTATATATATATATGTATATATATATATTATACATATTCATCAGGTCTTCAAAACCTTGTCGAAAGAACAGCAAGCTTGATCCAGCATGTTAACCTGTGTGAAGCTTGCATTCTACAAGTCAGAAAAGTTTGCCTGGAGATAAACATTGGTAAACCGTGGTAATCCTGCCGGATGAGATGCCCCACTGCATGAAGGTTTTCCTCTCGGTGTCATCCTCGATGAGCTCTTCATCCTCCAGAGATTGTCAGCTCGAGCGGTTGATGTGTCTGCGCTTTAGCGCTCGACCGGTTGGGATAATCCTCATTGGAATTCCCCATACAACTCATACAGTACGGTAGTACCTCCTCTTGTGACTTCTGGTGATATTTTGCCGGGCAACAACACTTGTCAAATAAGCGCTGAACAAAACACAGCTTGACCACATTGTTGCCAAGACATGGCAAGCGATTAAACAAGTGGCCATTGGAGGTGCGTTCATGTGCCCAATTTTGAAGGGATGGAAAACAATTGCTGGTGTGACCGGGCTGAACTTTCTGAATGGATGTGTTCAATTTGTTTTCCATTTTGTTTCATTTTGTTTCATTTTGTTTCATTTTGTTTCATTTTGTTCCTAGCTTCCATAGCTGTGATTCAAGGCCGAAGAATCAGCAAAGTTCCCTCGAAATGCGCTGGAGGTCTAAGGTCAACACTCCAAAGTGTGACCTTCTGGGAACAGCATGCACCTCAAAAAGTCAAAACTGTCAGAGCTTTCAACATATATAGTATCAGATCATTTTAGATAGTATCAGATAGCAAATAGTATCAGATAGTGTCAGATAATAACTATATAACGACAGCATGATCATCACAAATCTGGACCACTTCAAGCTCCTTGAATTTCAGGACATTGCCAGAGGTCTGAGCTTGCAAACCATGTGGAGCCAAACTGGATGACAAGGCCCGCATACAGCCGCATACATAATCAATCATAATCAATCATAATTTATGTCCCCACTTGGCTTTGACTTGATGCGAAGAGGCCCAATGGATATGCGATGATGAAAACAAAATGCCAGCCTGTTTCGACATTTGAACCAAATTAAGAGATGGCATGCAGTGCCCAAGTGCCTAGATTTGGATAGAACTTAGCTTTCTGGTGATCTACTTTTGTCAAAAACCAATGATGATCCGATTTCACCTCGTTTAACCTCCCACACCCATAGGCCCGTGGTATCCAAGTTGCCGATGGATCATGTGGCAGCGCCTGTATTTGCACATCGCACCCAGGCATCAAGATGTTTGACCAAAAATGTTCAAGATATTTCAAGATGTTTATCGAGGCCTTCGAGGCCTTTGACCCTTCCAATCCTGGGACTGACCGGCTGACCCACAGGCACAAAACTTTCAGGGTCCTTTTCTCTCGCAGAATCTATGCCGAGAACCAGGTATACAGAATACAATAAATGTCAAAATCAAAGATCTCTGTTGCCCCAGAAACATACAACATTACTTGATCAAAGGAAGTTTAGGGGGAGAAACTTCCGTGTTACGGACTTTTAGAATGTCAGGGAAAGAGTTAGTCAAAGAAAGAGTTAGCAAAGAAAGAGTTCGTCAGGGAAAGAGTTAGTCAAACCAAGAGTTAGTGAGGGAAAGAGTTAGTCGAAGAAAGAGTTCGTCAGGGAAAGAGTTAGTCAAACCAAGAGTTAGTGAGGGAAAGAGTTAGTCAAAGAAAGAGTTAGTGAGGGAAAGAGTTAATCAAAGAAAGAGTTAGCAAAGAAAGAGTTAGTCAGGGAAAGAGTTAGTGAGGGAAAGAGTTAGTGAGGGAAAGAGTTAGCAAAGAAACAGTTCGTCAGGGAAAGAGTTAGTCGAACCAAGAGTTAGTGAGGGAAAGAGTTAGCAAAGAAACAGTTAGTCAGGGAAAGAGTTAGTCAAACCAAGAGTTGGTGAGGGAAAGAGTTAGTCAAAGAAAGAGTTAGTGAGGGAAAGAGTTAGTCAAAGAAAGAGTTAGCAAAGAAACAGTTAGTCAGGGAAAGAGTTAGTCAAAGAAAGAGTTAGTGAGGGAAAGAGTTAGTGAGGGAAAGAGTTAGCAAAGAAACAGTTAGTCAGGGAAAGAGTTAGTCAAAGAAAGAGTTAGTGAGGGAAAGAGTCAGTCAAAGAAAGAGTTAGTGAGGGAAAGAGGTAGTCAAAGAAAGAGTTAGTCAGGATATATGAGGTAGTCAAAGAAAGAGTTAGCAAAGAAACAAGTTAGTCAAAGAAAGAGTTAGTGAGGAAAAGAGTTAGTCACAGAAAGAGTTAGCAAAGAAATTGTTCCCTCACTGTAAATGGCATTGCAAGTGGTGCTGGTGGAGGAGTTGCCGATGGAGTTTTGGAGGAAGTCTCGCACGAAATGCGTTTTTGAGAGATAGCAGATGCACGAAAGCCTATGTTTTTCCATACAAAGTTCGTCCCCGAACGTCGATGATCTACCTCTGCGGTGCGACGGGTGCGAGACGGTCTCGTGTGTGGTCGGATCATGCTCGGATCGGTCTCGGATCGGTTCCGCATTGTAAATGGGGTGTCACCTGTGTTTCGTGCATTTGTGGTCGACAGAATTCCATTGTGATTTGCAACTGTAGGATCGTTCCCGCATTGTAAATGGGGTTGCAAGTGGGGCTGGTGGATGAGTTGCCGATGGAATTCCATTGTGATTTGCAACTCTAGGATCGTTCCCTCACTGTAAATGGGATTGCAAGTGGTGCTGGTGGAGGAGTTGCCGATGGAGTTTTGCAGAAAGTCTCGCACGAAATGCATTTTTTAGAGATAGCAGATGCACGAAACCCTATGTTTTTCCATACAAAGTCCGTCCCCGAATCTCGATGATCTACCTCTGCGGTGCGACGGTTGCGAGACGGTCTCGTGTGTGGTCGGATCATGGGCGGATATTCTCGGATCATGGTCGGATCGGTTCCGCATTGTAAATGGGGTTTCAACTGTTTTTCGTGCATGTGTGGTCGACAGAATTCCATTGTGATTTGCAACTGTAGGATCGTTCCCGCATTGTAAATGGGGTTGCAAGTGGTGCTGGTGGATGAGATGCTGATGGAATTCCATTGTGATTTGCAACTCTAGGATCGTTCCCTCACTGTAAATGGGATTGCAAGTGGTGCTGGTGGAGGAGTTGCCGATGGAGTTTTGCAGAAAGTCTCGCACGAAATGCGTTTTTGAGAGATAGCAGATGCACGAAACCCTATGTTTTTCCATACAAAGTCCGTCCCCGAACCTCGATGATCTACCTCTGCGGTGCGACGGTTGCGAGACGGTCTCGTGTGTGGTCGGATCATGCTCGGATCATGGGCGGATCATTCTCGGATCGGTTCCGCATTGTAAATGGGGGGTCACCTGTTTTTCGTGCATGTGCGGTCGACAGAATTCCATTGTGATTTGCAACTGTAGGATCGTTCCCGCATTGTAAATGGGGTTGCAAGTGGTGCTGGTGGATGAGTTGCCGATGGAATTCCATTGTGATTTGCAACTCTAGGATCGTTCCCTCACTGTAAATTGGATTGCAAGTGGTGCAAGTGGAGGAGTTGCCGATGGAGTTTTGGAGGAAGTCTCGCACGAAATGCGTTTTTGAGAGATAGCAGATGCACGAAAGCCTATGTTTTTCCATACAAAGTGCATCCCCGAACGTCGATGATCTACCTCTGCGGTGCGACGGGTGCGAGACGGTCTCGTGTGTGGTCGGATCATCCTCGGATCATGCTCGGATTGGTCTCGGATCGGTTCCGCATTGTAAATGGGGTTTCAACTGTTTTTCGTGCATGTGTGGTCGACAGAATTCCATTGTGATTTGCAACTGTAGGATCGTTCCCGCAATGTAAATGGGATTGCAAGTGGTGCTGGTGGATGAGTTGCCGATGGAATTCCATTGTGCTTTGCATCTGTAGGATCGTTCCCGCAGTGTAAATGGTTGCGTCAAGGTTGCTTCGTGCCGTGGCTGCATTGGTAATACTATTGTCTTTTGCAGCTGGACTTCGTAAATCGTATTGGAGTGGCTGCATGAAGGCTGCCACAGTGATTTGTCAGCAGATTTTCTCCATTTTGGCGCTAATGATTTTCCTTCTAAAAATCCTTTTAAAAAGTGCCTCAAAATCGTCTTTTTTTCGCTCTGGCGTCGAGATCCGGTTTTGGAGCTACAATTTCCGACGCCGTTGCGCGTAGTTCTATTGTGTTTTGCAACTCAGTCTCTGCAGATCGCATTGTAATGGCTGCGTCAAGGTTGCTTCGTGCTGTGGTTGCATTCGTAATACTATTGTCTTTTGCAGCTGGATCTCGTAAATAGTATTGGAGTGGCTGCATCGAGGCTGCGCCAACGATTTGTCAGCAGATTTTCTCAATTTTGGCGCTAGTAATTTTCCTTGTAA